GGAGTCGGGGTGAGGAGTCGGGGTGGGGAGTCGAGTCGCGGTGGGAAGTCGGGGTGAGGAGTCAGGATGGGTGAGAAGGAAGGGGGAGTGTTTGGGTTGGGATGGGGAGTCGGGGTTGGTAAATGTTGGGGAGGACGGGTGGGTGAGAAGGAAGGGGGAATGTTTGGGGGTGGGGGTAAGGAGTGGTGAGATGAGCTTTGATGGTGTTGAGTGGGCAGGGAGTTGTGGGGTTGATGAGTGGGTGGGGTATGGGCAGACTCTTCTGTCACAATCTCGTCATAAGTTTAGCGCTCTTTGCTTGTCTCTTCGACCCCTTCTCTTTTGGAATCTAGTCGAAAACTTTCCCCGTTCCCTTTTCCAGATCTCTCTCCCTATTACGGATCCAGCTTGGTAAGCAATCCCTCTTAAACTTCTATTGTGCTGTGTTCCCTCTCCTCTTTACGTACTATGCTCTCAGTGCTTGGATTGTGGATCTTCCGTTCTGACTCAGATCCCCGTAATGTTGGCGATGGTAGTAATGAAAAAGCGAATGTCGATTACTTACCTTGTTTGGAAGGAGCTTTTGAAGGAGACTACACCTGTCTTTTGACGACTAGCGTTGGCGCTCTTTAATGAGTGAGCTCTTGAAGAATCCTTCCCTTTCCTCTTCCGACTTTGAATCTTCGCTTTTTCCGTTCCCCTCCCTTGTTTTCTTCGCCTTCTCCTTCTTCTTGTCGTTCTCGCTTTCCTTTCCTTTTCCTTTACTCTCTCCCCCCTTCTCTACTCCTTTTCCTCCTCGTTGTTGAGGCTCGTTGTCCTTTCCGTGAAAAAAAGGGCACGCTCTCCTTGCCCTTTCCTTTACTCTCTCCCCCCTCCTCTACTCCTTTTCCTCCTCGCCGTTGTGACTTGTTGTCCTTTCCGTGGAAAAGGCTTGCTCTCCTTGTCCTTTCCTTTACTCTCTCCCCCCTCCTCTACTCCTTTTCCTCTTCGCCGTTGTGGCTCGATGTCCTCTCCATGAAAAAGGAAAGGACAGCCGCGCCCGTAGGCGCGGCTCTATTCCCGTTGAAGTCGCCTTCCTTCCCCCTCCCTCGTGCCCGTCTCAGCGCTTTCGTTGTTGTCGTGAACTTGATGTCTTTTTGTCCGCTGTGATAGGGTATTCGAGACGTGGTCCTTTTGTGGAACTTCTTCCCGATCGTACTGGCGGTGTGCCTCCCTTGCTCGTTTTTGCCCAAAATAGGTGGTTGTCTTGATTCTGTTCACTTTTGTCGCCGGTGATGATGAGGCGAGCTATGGCTGCTCTTGCCCTCCACCTCGCTCTGCCCGAAGCCGCGACGCTTCTGTTCTCGTTCCCGCCAAATTTTGAAAATTGGGAAGGTGGCTTTGCCATGTCCCGCGTGAGGGAACCCCGCGCTCGACTGGCCGCTGAGGGCTCTAGGGCGGAAGTGCGTGCCTGCTAGCGCAAAACATTAGCGCTAACCGTGGGCGCTGGCGCTGACCCTGGCGTTCATGATGCTATCCAACTTCGTGATTGCGGCCTTCTTGATCCATGGCTGAATCTGAATCTTTGGTGAACTCTTCAGTTGCAGTTTCTTCTAGGATGGCAGCATTGCCATCTAAGTCATTTGCGCTTCTCCTTTTTGAGTCTGGTTGCCCTTTATTGCCCTTCCTCACTGTCGGATTGCCCTTCCTTTTTTAGTCTGATTGCCCTTCCTCTTTGTCTGTAACTGAAACGGTTTCACCCAGTTAACCCGATATTTGCAGACACAGAGATTTGATCCCTAGACCTGTGCCCTAACCCTGTACATTGAACCTGTGTGCTGAGTGAGATTCGATCCCTAGACCTACCCTGTGCCCTGTGCATTGACCCTGCGTGCTGAGTAAGATTCGATCCCTCGCCCTACCCTGTACCATGTACATTGACCCTGTGTGCTGAGTGAGATTCGATCCCTACACCTACCCTGTACCCTGTACATTGACCCTGTGTGCTGAGTAAGATTCGATCCCTAGACCTATCCTGTACCCTGTACATAGGCCCAGCGATCTGTGTGGGACTTGATCCCTAGGTCTGTAGGATAGGAGTTGAGTCTGTTACCAGTAGGTCTAAAGTGTCTGTTCTAAAAGTCTCTACCTAAGTCTACTGTAGTCCTAGAGTCTGTCTGTCGGTCTGTAGGTTCTAGAAGTCCGTAGGACCCTGTAGTCCAGTCCAGTCAGCAGGCACTAAGGGAAAGGGGCTGGGGCTGCACGTGGGGACAGGGAAAGGCCTACGCGCTCTGGAGAAGACTCCAGAAGATGTGTAGGGGCCCAGGGCCACACGGTTTGGCCCACGCGTTGAGCAGAAGGCTCCAGAAATGCAGTTTGGGACCAGGCCTCATGCGTTTTGGCCCAGGCCCACGCGGTTTGAGGCAGGGCCCGGGTACCTCCACTGAAGTATAAATAAACAGGCAGCATCCAGCCATTCATTCATTCGCCTGTGTGCCATGTGGAAGAGCTGCCTTGGTATCTTGTGTGTGGAGGTCTGCAGGTGCCCGGAGACGAAGTGGGCTGTGAGGAAGACAGCGGCCATAGCTGGCCAGTGAGGAAGACACCGGCGGCCATTGCTAGAAGGAGGAAGACGACGGTGGCCATAGCCGCCAAGCTGTTGGTGTAGACAGAGTGTAGAGAGTGTGTGTGTTTGTACAGCGTGGACATTCAGGGTGATTCTCGTACGTGCATGCATACGAGAGTGTGGGAGAGTGAGGCTGGTGGTAGAGACAGTGTTTGGCAGCCATAGCCGCAAGTTGTACAGTTGATTCAGACTGAGTTTAATACAAGTTCCTTGTTGTTTCTGAGTTGGAAGAGTTTGGTTTGCCATCGGTTCTCAAGTGTGCATGTTGTGAGCAAGTCCAGAGTCTAGTGTGATTGCATTGGTATCAGAGCTGGTACCCATTGTCCACTCCGGCGGAGCTGCAACAGCGAGCTGGAGGAAGTAGAAAGTCGCCATAGCCGGAGCTCTGCAAGAGAGAGAGAGAGAGAGAGAGAGAGAGAGAGAGAGAGAGAGAGAGAGAGAGAGAGAGAGAGAGAGAGAGAGAGAGGAAGAGAGAGAGAGAGCAGGGGGGACGGCAGCCATAGCTACCAAGCTCGGGAAAGCAGACGACCAGCAAGAAGAAGAGAAAGACGCAGAGAAAGGGAAGAAGAAAGTGACGAAGCGGGAGACAAAGTCAGCCATAGCTGAGGTGAAGAAGACAAAGGTTTTGATGAAGAAGAAGATCCACCATAGCCGGAAGGTTGAAGGGTTGACCAGGAGAGTTGACCAACGTTGACTGAGAGTTGACCAAGGGTGTTGACCAGGCATTGACCGAAGTTGACCAGGGCGTTGACCAGGAGCATTGACTGGCGAGCTGACCAAGACCGTTGACCGCAGCGTCGACCCAGCTGGAGCGAGAAGATTACCGGTACCATCTCTCCAAGCCCTGGCCTATCCCCTTACCCCGTGGATGTGCACTTTCACCTTGGTACCTGCTGACGTTAAGTCTGTCAAAGTCAGTCAGTCCTATCTCCTTGTCACTTCTGTCCAGGTCGCTAGGATTCTGTGTATGTGGTCATAGAACCGTAAGTCTAGCCCGAGTAGTGAATCAAGGCCCCTCGATAGAAGTTAACATGTTTGGTCTACGTGTTGAGGCACAAAATTGTTGTTGATTGTGCACCGTCCCCATGGTGGACCTCAGGTCTGGAACTAGTACCATCCCCTACAGCAAGGATCAAGAGGAGAGAGTTGTCGTATCCTGCGAGAGAGGAAGGAGAGAATGGAGAAGAGGGGACTGAATAAGCAGGCCAAGATGCTAGCCCTGCTGGAGGAGCAAGAGGCAAAGAAGAAGCAGATGGAGGAGGAGTCGAAGAAGGAGCAGGAGGAGAAGATGGCGGCTATACAAGAGGAGGTGGAGAAAGAAGAAGAAGAAGAAGAAGAAGAAGAAGAAGAAGAAGAAGAAGAAGAAGAAGAAGAAGATGAAGAAGTAGAGGAAGAAGAGCCGTTGGAGAGAAGGAGAGGGGAAGCTAGCACAAGCAAAGAAATTGAGATTGCACGGATTGCACAAGAGTGGGCCTCACATTTGGAGTTGGGGGAAGATAGGGAGGCCGGGATGGCCATACCCCAGGAAGAGAGAGGAGGCAGATTGAGACAGAAAGGGACCCGGTGAAGAGAAAGGCCAAGGAGGAAGAACAACAAATGGCATGGAGATATCGGCTGCCCCAAGAGAGGGTAAGACGGTTGGAAGCGGCGGAAAGGGCAGAGAAGGATTTGAAAGCGGCGGAGACCAGGATGGGGAAAATCAGAAAAGAGACGGAGATAGCCACTAAGCTCAATACTCTGACTCAAAGTGTAGAATCTTTACTAATTGCACACCACAAACAAGTGCAATATATCCACAGCTTAGAAGTAAAGATGCAATGCGCGTCGGGTTCAAAGATTTTGCAAGTGACATGATGAAATACTTATTGGCCGAAGTCCATAGTGCAATTAGTAAGCCCCGAGAGTTCTGCACTGGCGCCATTGAAGGCGCCAAGTTAGCGACTCCTAAGGAAGAGGAGCCGGCCCCACCACGCCGTGAGAAAGTCAAGGTCCGTTTTCCCGAACCCTTCAGTGGAAAGAAGGGTGAGGATTTCGATAACTAGGAGGCCAACGTGCACTCCTACTTGTACTTACAGGGAGTCACGCCTGAGGACCACGTTTTGGTGGCCTTCCAGGCCCTTCGAGACGAGGCCATCAGCTTTGCTAGGTCGCTAGCCTGCGCTGCGAACTGTGATAACGATATGGTTACGTGTGCGAGATTGACACCTCTCTCTGAGTTCCTGAAATCGCTCAAGGAGCGATTCTCAGATGTGACGGGGGGGCTCAAAGCCTCCTACAAACTCCAAATGATACACACTAGCCCGTGGAAGAGTGTGCACGCCCTCAAGTCCGCCATGGACGAGCTGATTGCGGTCCATGAAGTAACCGATGCCCAACTTCTTAACCTCTTCTATCGTGCCCTCCCTGACAACATTCAGGGACGTTTCTTCGAAAAGAAGAATCAGCAGGGCATGACTTACGATACTCTTAGTCGGGAGGCAGTTGCATTTGTCGTCCAAGCATCGCCAGTCAGCATGTTCTGGCACAAAGATCTGTCAAAGGGAAAAACGTGGAAGGGACGCACCATTTCGGGCCAAATTAAGGCCAAAGATAGTCTGATACTAACAATGGAGGAAGGTGGTGTCAACGAGGTTCCCTACTCTAACATCGAGTGGGGACTAGAGGAGGAGGAGAACAGCAGCGCAAGCCAGGGGAGAACCTACGCTGTTGTCGTGGCCGGAGGGAGGCCGCAAGGAGGAGGACAACGGTCCGGCCAGAATGGCCGGGCCCCAGGTGGCCGAGGGCAGGGCGGCCAGGGGGTTGGCGGCAACGGCAACTGTCAAGAGGGAGGAAGGGGAGGTCCCCCGTCTAACCGTCCGCGTTTTAGTCGGTCACCCCCCAGACAGAGAAGGTGGCACCCAGGCCGCCGTGAGGGCCGACCCTGGTTAGACCTGGGTATAGATCAAAGAGTATGGCAAGAACGCATTAACAGTTCTCAATGCGTATTATGTGGGGACCCAGGCCACATTATCAAATTTTATCCTAAGTATAGGGACCGTGCTGCGTTGGGGCAGCAAAAGACAGTCGCTGGTAGGGGTCGCAATTGCCCCTACCCCAGGAGTATGTGGATCTGAGTGTGCGTGTAAAGTAGAGACTCCCACACCACATATCTCCATGGTAGAGGTTGCAGGCCAGCATCTAGTAAGTTGTCCAGAGACTGCTTGTGTCAGAGTCTCTCTAGACGCTTCCCTCATAGGCTTAGCCGAGGAGTTAAGAGAGAGGAGGCAAGCCTGGGCCAAGATGAAGAAGGTTAGTAAAGGACAACTTATCCTCGCAGATGTAGAAATTTTTAGAGCTAGAGTAGGTGCCCTGATAAAAAGTGGGGCGACTAGGAGTTATATTAGTCGTAAAGCGCTGAAAAAGTTGAAGCTTAATTTGAAAGTCCAACGCTTAAAAGAACATGTAGTCATCATCCTTGCAGACAATAGCAGGATGCGCGTTGAAGAGTATGTTGAGGGGGCGACGCCTACTTTCGCCTAGAGAAAAATGGGAAGGTAGAGAGAAAGATGGGAAGGTAGAGACGGTACTGCACTCATTGACCCTCCTCGTAGAAGAGAGTCTCCCGTTTGACATTGTTCTAGGTACGGATTGGGGAGAGGAAGCAGGAGCCACACTGCACCTTAGAGCGCACGAGTGTAGGCTCCTTAGCGCGTCAGGCGAAGTCAAGCAAGTCCGCATGTTCCATGAGTCCGGGGTAGATAATCCCCTTGCCCATTGCTGCCTTAGTGCTCCTGCGTTCGCCAAATTTGTGCGAAAGGAGCAGCTCGAAGAGCAGGTGTTCGTAGCCTATTTTAGGCCGATTTCTGACCAGCCAAAGGAAGGAGAGAAGATCCATCGTATTATCGCCAATCTGCTAGAAGAGTATAAGGATTTATCTAAAGCACCTTCAGGAGTAGTGCCCAGACCCATCCAGCACCGTATAGAGATAGAACCTGGCAGTAGAACACCCAATGGAGCAGTCTACAGGATGTCTCCCAAGGAGTTAGAGGAGCTTTGTAGACAGTTAGATGAGCTCCTAGAGAAAGGGTGGATCAGGCCTAGCTCATCTCCGTTTGGCGCACCTGTTCTGTTTGTCCCAAAGAAGGAGGGAGAGCTACGCATGTGTATAGACTACAGGGGACCGAACGCCATCACTATCAAGAATGCAGAGCCATTGCCACGTATAGACGACTTGCTAGACCGCATGCAGGGATGTAAGTATTTTTCAAAGATAGATCTGAAGTCAGGATACCATCAGAGTCCATCCCGACGATCGGTATAAGACGGCGTTCAGGACAAGGAATGGGCATTACTAGTTCATAGTGATGTCGTTTGGACTTACTAGCACCAGCTACATTTCAGCGCTACATGAACGACTTGTTTAGGCCGTGGTTAGATAGGTTCGTCGTAGTTTATTTAGACGATATCCTAGTATTCAGCAGGTCCCTCGAGGAGCATGAGGGTCATCTGTGGCAAATTCTGAGCAAGCTAAGATAGTCCAACTTCAAAATTAACCCAAAAAAGTGTGAATGGGCCAAGAGAGAGGTCCTTTACCTAGGCCATGTACTAGACGGCGACGGCATTCGGCCTGAGGACAGCAAGATCGCATCCATTAGAGATTGGCCGACTCCTAAGACACTGACAGAGTTGCGTTCGTTCTTAGGACTGGCTAGCTACTACAGGAAGTTTGTAAGGAACTTCTCCACGATCGCTGCTCCCCTTCGTAGGTCGCTGAAGAAAGAGACTATATGGAAGTGGGACCAGGACTGTTCGCCAGCCTTCAAGAAATTGAAGAAGGCTCTAATAGAATACCCTGTCCTCAAAGTTGATGATCCATCATTACCATTCGTTGGTACTACAAACATAGGTGTCGTTTTGCAGCAAGATGACGGCAACGGTTATAGGCCCGTAGAGTTCATGTCAGCCAGGCTGCCCTCAGAGAAAGTCGCAACATCGATATATGAGAGAGAACTTTACGCTCTCAGGCAGGCTTTAGATCACTGGAAACACTACCTTCTTGGGAGGCACTTCAAGGTATATTTTGATCACGAGACTCTTAGATGGCTAAAGACACAGGCCAAGATGACGCCCAAGTTGACTACATGGGCTGCTGAGATAGACCAGTTTGACTTTGAGGTCAAGCTTGTAAAAGGAGAGTATAACGTGGTAGTCGATGTTCTGAGTAGGAGAGTTGATTACTTCGGCGCGATAGTGCACTATCTAGACATAGGGGCCGACTTGCAGCAGAAAGTAAGAGATGCCTATGCACAGAACCCGATCTACAGTGAGCTACTGAAAAGAGTAAAGGAAGCCCTAGATAGTGAGCCACACTATCGAACCACGAATGGGCTATTACTCTAGAAGACCAACGTTGCTAACAGACTGTGTGTCCCCAATAACGAAGAGATTCGTAGCCTGATCTTAGGGGAATGCCACGATACAGAAGGGCACTTCGGATGGCGAAAGACTTTAGCTAACCTGATGATGTCATATACGTGGCCAGGCATGATGATGTCATATACGTGGCCAGGCATGAAAGCAGATTGCATAGAGTATGTGCGCAGCTGCAAGGTATGTTAGCGGAATAAAACTACAACCAGAGCCCGGGTAGGTCTTCTTAGACCCTTGCCTATTCCGTCAGGACCCGGAGATTCAGTTTCCATTGACTTCATGGATACTGGGGTCAAGAGTAGGCACGGCAAGACTCAAGTCATGGTCATAGTAGATAGATTTAGCAAGTATGCAGCATTTGTTCCCCTACCTTCAGAGGCACGTACAGACTTAGTCATTCGTAAATTCTTCGACTTCTAGGTAAGCGAGCATGGCATGCCGTTGCGGTTTACCAGTTAGAATTGGCAGGATCTTATGAAAGTCTATGGGTCTAAGTTGTTGATGTCGTCAGGACGACACCCAGAGACTAATGGCCAGACATAGCAGATGAATAAGATCCTGCAACAGCTACTCAGAATGTATATTAGACCAGATCAGATAAACTGGGATGAGATGCTTCCCAAAGTAGCAAGTGCCTACAATAACAATGTTCATCTAGCTACCTGCAGGACTCCTAACGAGTTACATAAGTCCTTTAGACCTCGGCGACCGTTTGAGGGACTAAATCGGGACCAGATACAGAGACTACCAGCCGGCACGCGAGAGTTTACCTTACAACATGAGAAGGAAGTCGCTAAAGTTATAGACAATTTGAGTAAAGCCCAGCATCGAATGATAGAGCAAACTAACAAGCACTGTCGACCTTCACAGTTTCAGGTAGGCGATCTAGTCTGGGTCAAGTCAAAGGAGTTCGCACCAGAGGAAAACATCTCGCAAAAGCCCATACCTGCTTATAGAGGACCCTAGCCTGTCCTAGAAGTCAAAGGAGGAGAGGACGGTTTGTCATACACGATAAAGATTCCACAACATCTCCACATGTACCCAGTCTTCCATGCGTCCAAGTTAGTGCCTTGCACCACGTCTGACAGATTCTCTTCCAGGAGATCGATGATTCCAACAGATATGGATGGTGCATACGATATAGATAGCATAGTGGAAGAGGACGTGTTCAGGACAGGAGGTCGAGGTCGTCCCCAAAGACA